CTGCCCTGTAACTTACAGATAATTAGGATTAATGCTACAAATAGTGAGAGCTAGGTGCCTATAATATAATAATAATAAAATATACATATAATAATATAATATATATTATAATAATTTAATACTAATTACTGGCTGCCTGTCTTGACCGGACCCTGTACCAAGCTTTTTATGTTAGAATCTCATTTTATCCTACAACAGACATATGTATTTGGTGTTGTTACTGCCTCTTTACAGAGGGTAACTGAGGCTAAGAGTGGTTAAGAAACATCACCAGTGCCACATGATTGGCAAAGGTGGTATCAGCTTGCTACTGCACTAGACCAGCATTTCTCATAGAATAGGCCATGCATGTCAAATTCATCTGGGACTCATTTTAAATGGACAGATTCCTGAGTCACATCCAATGACTGCTGAAATGGAACATCTGGAACTGAGACTAGAAACTTGAGATTAATCAGATTTCCTTGGTGATTCTTACACACATCAAAATTTGACAACCACTGTAATATGAGTGAGGGAAATTTTCTAGCTGAAAATTCATGCTTACCAGTCAAGGACATTCCATACCCACTAGACTTAAACTTAAGGGTTAGTGTACAGGTACTTGCCACCAGATCACTTTCATAATTTAGAAAAAAAATCACCAACCATTGCCATCATCTCTACGGGGTTTACTCGGAATAAGACAGGTCTGTTGTACTGTTGTACTTCACACTTACCACCAGAGGGCGGAAGGTCTCTGGTAAAGGAATGGGTGTTTGGAACAGCCTCAAAAAAAAAAAAAAAAATCCCAAACTGGCATGCCCAGAGGGCAAAAATCAGAAAAACCAGAACCACCATGAGTGTGCATTAGTGAAATGTTCATTCTTTGTGAGCCGCTCCGCTGCATGCCTAAGCACCCTCCTCTCAGTCACAGATATTAATTCCTCCCGTGATTCCACAAGAAGCCTGGTGACTTGAAGGGCTGAGCTTTTCCACAGGTGGCAGAATCCCCTTGAGGAGCTACACGTGGACTTCCAGAGCAGCTAAAGCCATCAACACAAAGATTTGACTGTCATCTGAATCCTCTTCTCTCTTCTAATAGCAAACCAGACTCTAAAAGGGGAACACCCTTTTCCTATGACCACCAATTTTCCCATGACAGGCTTTCGCAACTCCCCAGGAAGACATGGGTTACTAATAACATTAATTCACATCATGCAGCCTTTGAGGTACGCAGATGCATGGGAGGTGGCATTATTTATTTTTTAAAAATCTCTCTCTTGTCAGTGTGGTT